CCCCGCAGCTCTTCTTCCACCTGTCCCGGGAGCGGGTGTTCCCCGAGGACCGGGCCCGCTTCTACGGCGCCGAGATCGTGTCGGCCCTGGACTACCTGCACTCGGAGAAGAACGTGGTCTACCGGGACCTCAAGGTGGGCCAGCCTCGGCGGGAGGAGCTGGGGGCGGGCGGCAGGTGCTGACGGAGACACCCCCTCACCCCCCTGCCCCCCGCAGCTGGAGAACCTGATGCTGGACAAGGATGGGCACATCAAGATCACGGACTTCGGGCTGTGCAAGGAGGGCATCAAGGACGGGGCCACCATGAAGACCTTCTGTGGGACCCCGGAGTACCTGGCGCCAGAGGTGGGCGGGGCTCCGTTCAGACAAAAAGGGAACATTGACATAATGCTCGCACAGGAGACATTTCAGCATGAACAAAACTTGCGGTTCCTACTATTTTTACCTGAATTTCAACATGAATCAAATCTATTTTTCTTCCACTGTTTAACATGATATTATAGGGCAAGGATATATATTTAAATTAAATGTTATAAACTTGATGAACATAAAGGTACGAACTCTAGTAGAGTAAGTCCATATTTAGTTGGCCATATCCATTTAATGTTTTGATTAAGCCTTTTTTGATTCATTTATTAAAACAGAATAATTGGATGACTTGGAAAATGTTTACAGTTCTATAAACCATTGGGATTTTCCTTGGAAACAAAGACACTGATCATTTGGATTTGAGGTGCTGTGGGTTTTTGTAATTATTAGGAAGTATTTCACTAGGAGGGTTCATGAAATGACAGCAGCTCCCACTGACGACCCCACGCAGAGGGCCCGGGAGACTGGCTTTCTTTGTTTATCCGCAGGCATAGATTGTGCGTCTGCTGTGTAGGGGGTGTTTTCCTGAGTGATGTGGCTACAGGAACAAAACACAAAGGACAGTGCTCTCAGGGAACTCGCTCTGGAATAGGGTTGGGAACGCTCATGCAAAGCACACTTTTTGTTTCTCTGGAGTTCAGTTTCCCTGCTGTCCATTTGCCTTGGATCTCGGAGGGGGCTCCGAGGACGCCAAGGAGATCATGCAGCACCGCTTCTTCGCCAGCATCGTGTGGCAGGACGTGTACGAGAAGAAGGTGACGCCCACCCGCTCAGTCACCCCGCGTCCACCGGCTCACACGCCCACACACCCACAGCCCCTGCTCGCCTGTGCACCCACACTCCTCACACCCCGTGCCCCCCCGGGGCGGGTGGCTGCACTCGTCCCCCGATCGCTGTGCGGGGCCCGTGTTCCCCCCGGAGGAGCCGGTGCCTGTGCTCCTGCGAGGGGTGCCCTTCCCTGGGGCGCACGCTGAAGGTTGTCGTGGTGACTGGGAGACCCGCTGCTCCTTGGGCCTGGGGGAGGCAAGGCCCCCCACACGGGAACGCCACTCAACAGCCCAAGTGGGTCAAGGACCACGGGGATGTCTGTCCCTCCATCCTGATTATCAAGGGGGAGTCCCCAGCAGCTGGGCCGAGCAGGCCTGTCCCCTGCACACCTTTCCAGGTGCCCTGTCCCCTTCCCAGTTTATAAGAAAACCAGGAAGGGAAGGAAGAAAGTTACGGAAAGAAAAGGGGGCGCTCTTCTCTTGC